TTATCTTTTCTTCTTTTTCTTTGCTATTGTTACTTTGTTTGTTTTATTCTAGAGATTTTCTTTTTTCAACTTTAAAAAATATCAAGGATTCGCAAGGAACGCCTGCTACAAGTGGATGGTTAAGTATCCCATGAGGCCTTTCGTCGCACAAATTAAAAGAAGAAAGATGGTTGTCGCGGTGAGTACTTCATGTCAGATCCCATGAATTGGCACTTATATTACTGTATCATTATTTTGTATGACACACGACAACGCAAATAAAACTGGAAATATGTTAAGAATAAAGATTCATGCCCGTTAAAGTTTTTTTAATTTCCCCTCCCTCGCCTCTATTAGATAACGCTATAAAAGCGACATTTTAGTGGTTAGCTGGACGAAATCTATAACAACAACCGCAAGATTGCAATCAATTTTGATACCTAAACCAATTCTAAAGGAAAATGTGCCATGCAATTATTTTTTCTGAAAATCGAAATTGCCTTACGTGTCACCTGCGATTGGAGTGAGGYCGGATAAAAAAATGTAAAAGAGAAAAACAATCAAAATTTGATGAACGGAAATAAGGTGTGGAATCAAGATCCGAGCCCCTCAAATGGTACTGATCTTTTCCTATAGCTTTGATTTTCAACTCTAATCTGGCCTTAGCTATTTGGAGATTTGATCACACGTCAATAAAAAGTTAACAGAGAATCAAACGTTAAAATAGTGAAATCATGAGACATCAGGGTACTTTCAATGATCTCAAGTGTAACCTTCTACTTTTAAATTATTTTTTTTTTAATAGAGCTCTCTAGCCTCGAGAAAATCACTTACAAGTTGTCRAATTTCCACGCCGTCAAAACTGCAGGAAAAGTGGAGTCTGTTTCGAGTCTACGACTTGAGAAGATATTTTCCTTTTTTTTCTTTGTCTTTGTAGAAGTGGAAAGAATTTCCRTCGCTGGCAAAGCAGGCCACTAATCGAAAAAGGCTGGCAAAGATAAAGTCATTTGTACTCTTTCTGTCAATTCCGCGTAATAACTTTAATATTTCAAATTCATAACTACAGGCCATATTATCAAAAATGTATAAACATTGGATTTCACAACTATTGTATTGTTTATTATTGAGAAGAATTAAATCCATAATATATGCAAATAACTGTATCTTTTTTAAAAACCTATTTTTAACTAAACAGCTTGTCTGCGGTATTAGTACAGCATACCAATTTGTTTTCAGAAGTAATAAGTCATGTCGTCCAAGATACGAGAGCTCTGTAAAGATTTCTGSGGCTACAGCACTCTRCATGGTCTRCAYTTCTTGTTCGAYTCGCCATGGACTATTCGTCGAGCCATCTGGTCCTTACTGCTGCTTACTGCAACATTTTGGTTTTTCTATCAAGCTCATGGGGCTCTCATGAAATGGAGGAAATTTGAAGTTTACATTACAACAAAAATCAAACGCGAAAAGGTATAGTAGGGTTTTAAACCTTTTCATGAAATATTGATATTTCATTTCGGTAAAAAGGCAGTTCTCTGTAAATATCCAGAACCTAGCTTCTTAAAAATTATCTTTGATGTAATGCAGTTACTCAAAATTATAAAAAACTACCCCTACGTGATCTGATCAGTTTTTTTTTCAGTAATTTGATCAAGCCTTGAATATAATGTTTGTTTTACATTACCGCAAGTACTAATGACTTATGAGTGGGAMTCTGTTCAAACTATCCCTTCTTTTATTTTTGCCCTCAAAGGACCTAGATTTCCCAACGGTTACTGTATGCAACAAGAAYATGTTAAAAAAGAGCAAGATAATTGGGAAAGACGGACAGCTATGGCTGGATGGACAAAACAACCAGCTAAAAAAAGAATGGCCAGAAATTCACAGCAAAATAAACGCTTCTTTCGACATTGGAAAGGAACTACTTATGAATGGGCATCGTGCACACGATGTGATCAAAGGAGTGAAGTTTGATAACTCGTGYCCCGGGACACTTAACATGACTACGACGACATTTTTAACTGGGATGGTAAGTCACAGTTAAAAAAACGCTGTAAACTTTCTATTTTAGCCATAAATAGTTTATTTACAACGTTTGAAAAAGTTGAACGTATCTGTTTTGAAGCTAAAAGGCTGCAAGTGGAACAGCTGCTTGCAAAAGGATTTCATGCATTAATTCATATTATAATTATCTTCGCAGTGGCGCAAAATAATAACCGCGTTTGAAGTTGATTGTGAATAGCATCTGCGAAGTCAAGGATGGTGATTAGCAGTGTGGCTCTAAACAGCTTACTTAAAATTTTAAGAACACACCCAAATAAACTCAATTTCAATTTAGAACTCGGCGCAGTGTATTCCGGCGTGAATAAAAAGCTAGCGTTTGACAGCAGTTCAAAGCTTTTTTAGTTTCCCAATTAAGGCTGTGAAACAGTTGTCTATAGTTTTCTGGTTCTTCAGTTAGTTGTTATAGGCATCGGTTATTTGTCTTCATTGAATTGTGCACCCCGCTCATGTTTTGTATTTTTAAAATTCCTAGTTTGGGTTATGCCACACCATTCATATCAAGAACAAGGTGCATAAGCTTGGGGAGAGTTTTGGATTGACCTTGATGCTAGACTCTGAGCCCCACGAGTATTATGGGAAAAACAGCTGGGATGGGAGTGGGTTTAGACTAATGGTCCATGAACCTGGCACTATTCCAGAAATGGACAAGTACGGTATTGATATTCCTACTGGATTTAAAACCAATCTCAGAGTTCAAAAAAAGAAGGTATCAGTTAACATTACACGCAGTTTACTTCATTTATTTACTTCATTTTACTTCGTTTATTATACCGTATTTTCCACTACGAAAACATTCTTAAACTTCAAGTTGTATGCGGTGCATTTTGATGTCATATACACAAAAATTCTGATTCACAGTGTTTGTGTGAAAACTTGCATGACATAATAAGCCTTATACTATAGATTATGCTAGCTTAGCTTCGACGTAAAGTTAAATTTATATGTAGTAGTTGTATAGATGGATAGTGTGTTTGTTGTCCCTACCAATGACTGTGAAGTAACCCTTATATAACCGTATTGTTTGCAAAAGTACTGTGTTTCCTCTAAAGCGACCGGGAATAAGACCGATTTGTTGATTAAAAAGATCTAATTGAAAGACTACTCAACATATCATGATAAAACAATTTCCTCCTATTTTATAGAGAGTCCATTTGCCTCATCCTTACCCAGCCAAATGCGGCACAAAGAAGCTCAAAAGTACAAATGTTTACTCTGAAAACAGATGCCGAGCGGAAGAAAATTCTAACGTTATAGGAGAAAATTGTGGCTGTCGCATGCTTGGATTACCTGTTATTAGTAAGATTTGTTAGCTCAAATTATTTACACACGACTCGGAAGTAAGAGTTTCAGATCATCAATCAATATCAATATCATCAAATATCATTCTCNCATAAAATTGCCTATTACTAAGATAGGATTTGAACCACTCAAGAGCTAAGTCTCGAACTCCAAAAGATGTATATATATCATCATCATCACTATCACAAATATAAAGTGGAAGTGCGCACAATGTTCACATTTAGCTACATTTACAACAACAACAACGACAACAACAACAGCAGCAACATCCAGCGACAGCACATCATCATCATTATGTCTTTCCCAGTGACCGTACCACAGCCGTAGGGCGCTCTTCCTTAAAACTTTCTTCAAGGAATTGCAAGAAATCGTTCTTCTTCATCATCATTCTTCTTCACAACAACAACAAAAACAACRCGCGTCTAATTAGAAATATTTACATCAAGTTTACATCATTTTGGACATTTACATCATAAATACATCAAATTTACAACCTTTAAAGCGCGCGATTTTTTCCAGTGATAAATGACTGTACTTTGTAGAATGTTCATTTACTTTTAATGCAATGCAGACAACATTGATAGTTAATATTAATATTGGAACACTGACTAAACATGATCTTCTCGAGGGGATGATGTACTTGTTGAAGTTTATAAGTCTTTTTAAGATTCCTTTATTTTTCAGAGGAGGAATATAGMAGATTCTGTAACATTGTCGAAATGATGACATGCGCATACCCTACTTGTAAGTCGTCATGTGATTGGTTTATTTGTTGGCTGGTCGTGTAATGGACCTTGAACTCATGATAACAGAATGCAATGGGAATATATATCTATAAAGTGTATTAAAATSTGGGCATTAAAGCCGTGAAACAGATTCTAGCTTGTTCAGGGTGCGGTTGTAAGAGGGTGGTTAAAGTTATCCATCACTTATTCGATGGCTAATTTTTAAGCCCAGTAATGTCGCACTTAAATGACGGAAATAGCGATCTTCTTTTTTTTGACCTCCCCTCCAAGCCCTCCAAGCCCTCTAGTATTATAGATATCAAGGAAACTGAACCTATCTAATCGTCACCGTCAACAAATGACAATCGGTTCTTATTCTCTTATAGACTACATGACGTTTACCAGCGAATGTCCAGTGCAATGTAGCAGCGTGACTTACGGAACCCACAGTTCACTGATCGTCTTTCCTTCAAAGTCAGGGTTTCGCGATTCACAGGATAAAGTTAAGAAAATTAGGGTTTGTGGTGTCACTCATGAACTGGAGAGAGAGTTCAACAACTCAAGAATTGACGACGAATCATACTTTGACTGGTTTAGGTAAATCTTTCACAATGTGATCTTGCTAGATTATCCACTCACATCCAACCTTCTCTCAGTAGTATCTTACGATTAAATGTTTAGAAGATWACTTTTTACTGTAGGATTTTTACTGAGAAATTCAATCCAGTTACACAGTCATCATACTGGTGTTTGATGGTTTTGGTTATACTGAAAGCCAWTTCCCTGAATTTTAGCAATAGTTCCGTTTTGGAATACCCAATAAATGGTTCATAATATACTTTTTGACATATATCGTAAGTCTAGAATTCCGTTATCTTATTATTTATAACTTTTTACTGACGATTTGCTGAGAAATTCAATATGTTTTACAGTCATTATACCGTTTTTTTGAGATCCCGTAAATGGCTTTTGCCAAAGTGCGCGCTAGTTGGCTGAAATTTTTTAATTGTTCCGTCTTGATATATCCTAAAAACGTTTAAGATACTTTTAGACGTATATCGTAAGTCTAGAATCCCGTTATCTTATTAACTTTTTATTGACGAGAATTGCTGAGAAAATTCAATATGTTGAACAGTCTCCGTATTGTATACAGAGCTAAATAAAGATTGAACTATATTTTTTAAATATTACATTTCAAATGTTCTAGTGCTATCATTATTAAATTATCATTATTTTATTTCGTTTTGGCACAGAGGCAGATATGCTATGGTCAATGTTTTCTTTGCTTCAAAAGACGTTGCAGTAACACAAGAAATGCCTGTCTTTGATGCCTTAGATTTTGCTGGTAAGTTTTTAGYTTTCAACATGCATGCATTGTATATATCAAGGTCATTTTTGCAACTTAATGCCCGATAATTCTGGTGTTCACGATTTTCCAGGAAACCTTGGTGGTAACATGGGTCTTTACTTGGGATGTAGTGTTTTGACACTGGTCGAGTTCGTTGATTTGCTTGCATTAGTCTTCATCCATTGGTTCAAGAAGA